TCGGTTCTCGATTCTGGTACCCGTTTGGGTATTTAATTTATGAAGAACCGCTCGATTCGGTTCGAATTCGGTTCAGTCTGATTCGATCCGAGACTTTTGGACACTCTTAATTTCTCCCATGAAAATAAGTACACATCCGGCGAGATCAGGGAATTACAAGATTTTTTTTTGTAATTGCTGTAAAAATGTGAATATTATATTCTTGTAATTTGGAAAGTACACATACTGAACAAAAATTTGTTCAATGCGTTGATTTTAGCGTTGATTTGGTATTCCTTCCACTTAAAAGTCTTTGCAATAATACAACATTATATTACATTAATTTAACAATAATCAACTACTCGTTTGACTCTCATTATTTGAAATTTTAATGGTTGAAATAATTTTTTTTTTTTTGAAAAATGCATAGTTAAAAAGAAAAAAAAATTGAATTTACGTGTAATATTATTTTGTTGAAAAATGTATGATTGATAAAAAAAAAAGAAAAAAATAAATTATAATGTGAATGAGGGCTACATAAAAATTTCCTATTATAAATTAGAAATATTATTAAAAAATTAAAAAGAAAAAGGATTATGTCCCACTAACACCCATTATTACACTTACATAATCCTGTGGTCAGCTTTCAAGGGGCCCTTTTAGTCAATGTAAAATATTGAAACTTGTTTGACTATTTCTTATTCATATGGCCCCACATTCTTCCTGGAGTGAAATTCCAAGCACCACCAATAGCCTGGTTCCAGTTGGACGGTTCGACTAATGAACCTTCACTATCACATTCTGTCGCGTGTTCTCACCTACCTTTGAGTCCAATATATCTTCTAAAGAGTGAATGTCACGCTCCTCCTTCACGTGTGGGATTTAATGTACATATAGACTCAAAAGTATGCAACGAAACAATTTTTGCCAAACCATACAAAAAGTCTGATGCAAAAATGAAAAACTTTCATTTCTTTTATTTCTAATTCTTCTTCCAACTCTTCATCTCCTTCCCCACTCCAGTCTGAGGAATGGAGAATTCACCAAAACTCCAAGAAAACCAAAGCCCATCATCTCTTGTTCCATCGCCAAACAATCGTAGTTCCAACAGTTCTAGCAGTAGCACCACCCACATCAATGGCCTCCACCACCACAACCACCTATCACCTCCGGCGTCACAGCCGTCTCCAACACCTGGCGTGCCCATAGCCAGATCCGAACCAAACAGCCCGCATCCGACAACTTTTGTCCAGGCGGACACATCCTCTTTCAAGCAAGTGGTTCAAATGCTCACAGGATCCACCGAGACGGTCCGACACGCCTCCCGACCGGACCCGGCGAAGAACGCGATTCCTCCCATCAAGACTGGGCTGAAGAAGGATAAGTCAACCTCCAAGCTGTACGAGCGAAGAAACAGTCTCAAGGACTTTAAGATCAGCCCTCTTGGACCTGGACTGGTCAACACGAGACCCAGATTCTTGTCTGGGTATTCGGGTTCTCCCCGAATGGGAACTGCAGAAGTTCTTTCTCCCAGTATTCTTGATTTCCCATCTCTGGTGCTCAGCCCGGTTACACCTCTGATACCCGACCCGTTCAATCGGTCACCGAACGATGGAGCTAGCAATTTGAACACGGCAGCAGAGGACAAGGCAATTAAAGAAAAGGGATTTTACTTGCACCCATCGCCGGCGAATACGCCGAGGGATTCGGAGCCTCGACTTTTACCTTTATTTCCGGTCACCTCACCGAGAGTGGCAGGTTCTTCTAATGCTGCAGATTCTTGAGTGAGTTTCCCTTTCCCTTTTGTAGTTTTGCTTCAATTAATGTGCCATTTTATATGTGATACCACACAGATGTGATTTGGAATTGATGAGGCAACTATTTATGAACAATCTAATTAAACTCAACAATTTGAAAAAAGTGCATAATTTGATTTATTTCCTTTTTAACATTGTTGGAGAGAGAAGGATATTAATAGTGATGAAAATGGAGAGAAAGTGAATAGTTAAGTGCAATAATAGATAGGAAAAGTGTGTAATTTCGAAATTGTTCTGGTCTATTTGGTGGAAATTATAATCTTTTTCTAATTTCTGGGGTTAACTAACGATTTTGGTGATCAAACAGATGGAAACCGTCAATGAGGACTGAAACTGCGATATTTTTAAATGTTTGGTACCGTGAGTGTCAAATGAAAGGTTTGAGAAAAGTCTACAACTAATTGAAAGGTAACCTTGACTGAAATTTTCCTTAATAATAATAATAATAATAATAAT